GTGGATGAATCTAATGTTTTGAGGTGAATGTGTGGCTGTCTGTCACCGTAACGGTGTGAATATTTACTGTACTTCGGAATCACATATTCTAGCCTATGTCTTCGAATATATGACCCAAATAAGCATTTTCACCGGATATTGTCATCTGAACAAGTAACAAGTCTGCCACTTTTGTTCTGACCAACTGAGGAAAAAAGCATTACAATAAATCAAGCAACCAATGGCGAAAAATCACCTAAATCTAACAATCACTTAGCTCATATCACATCAAACCGTGCAAATTATTATCATTGTTATACTTTTTTGTCAAATTGTTAATGTTAACAACATCAGCATTGCTTGACTATGTGTATAGTGTGTATTAGCGTGTAGATTTCAATTTCTGTACAGTCTAATCTCTATTTGTCATACCATTCAAATTTCCTATAAAGAAATTCTTCTAACCCAAAAGGCAAATTATTCATCATTCGATCTGGTTGTCTTTAAAATACAAATCTTGTGTAATCCCACATATGCTATCTGTAATCAGATGCACATTTAAAACTAATTTCAGTCACTTGTGTTTCATAAACACGTAATCCTTTCTGGATTATAATCTCCCATCAAAATGATAAATTTAATTAGTCTAGCTGCTGTGAGAAAAGGCTATAAATGATCCTCCACCTGCAGGATCCTCGCATGCGATAGCCTAGTAGCCGGGACAACTTCATGTTTACAGATGTGACGTAATGACGCAGCAGCATGCTCGAATTTCCCGCAAATTCCTACCAGTACCACTCAAATTAAAAAACATTATTATAAGCTAACCGATGTGAATCAGGCTAAAGTACGGCATAGTTTTGAACACACTGGCTGGTTATGTACTTGCTCAAATATTGATTTCGGATCATTTTTAACCAAAAAAAGTTTACAAGTTTGCAGCTTTAAGTAAGTACAGTCAAATATGTAGATTATTTCATTACTGTTACTGTCTTGTGATTTGTCCATATTAAAAATATGTTTTAATCTTTTAAATCAACAGCATTACAAAAGGAGTATCGGCAGATTGGAAAAGCATTTCAGAACCTATCATCGGTTTTCAACACTAGTGCATACCCAAGTAGGAAACTGGAGCTTTGTTCGTTAAAATGCTCTCATAGACATATAAAATATTTTTGATTACCTAATGATTATCTAATCATGTTTTGTTGATGGTTTTTGTGCACCTTATTTTAAGGGGAATCAACTCTGACGGAAGCATTGAGTGCAACAGGAAAAACGTATGAGGAAATAGCAGAACTCGTTGCAGGACAGGTATCAGAAGTACAGTATTTCCTCACATGAATACTTCAACAAACCGTCCAGTCCTTGAACCTCTACCAGTGTCATTTACTCACCATTAGCAAGTTTCCTCACATCCTGTGCTGTTGATATAATTGTAACCACAAGGTTATCCAGTCATAGCAACATCCATGATAGCTGTTTTTAGCATTATCCATGAGTTTAAACATTTGTTTCAATAAGATAACATTTGTTTATCAGCCAAAAAAAGATCTACACTTCCTGATGGAGACAAACAACGAATACAAGGGACTACTAGGCTGCTTCCCTGACACAGTAGCAGTTCACAAGGTATAAACCATTCACCTTTTGCCTTTCAACATTGTGTTTTATTTTTTTTCCTTTAATTTAAAGGTAAATTTTCAGAAGAACTGGAAAAAGTAAAATACATTCATATTTATATATATATATATATATATATATATATATGTTATTTGTATTTAAATAATTCTTTCCCCTCAGGCTGCCATTGATAAAGTAAAAGAGGCTGATCATTTGGTGACGATGAATAAGGTTAGCCAACAAGATAAACACATTATGGAAAAGAACCTCAGCACCATGTCTTATGCATTGCAAGGTACGTTAGTAAAGTGTTGTCTGTCAGTGAAAGACCCTTTGTCACAGTAGTCTTTTATACGTGCACCTGTGTGCTTAATTGTAGTGTTTGTCACACACGTGTAATCTTAGACTTGCCATCTGTTTCTCTAGCGGAGATGAATCATTTCCATAGCAACCGTATCTATGACTACAACAGACTCATGCAGTTCTACCTGGAGGAACAGGTGAAATTCTATGAAACGGTGAGTGGTGGGATTCTAGTTTGCATGGACACCATAAACATGGCATATGTAATGCAACATACTATGTATGTAACGTTCTTGTGTGTTCTGATTGGATAGATTGCTGAAAAGCTGAAGAAAGCGCTTGGTCAGTATACCACCATATGAGGACACGCTCTAAACTGTGGAACTTCAAAAAAGGATGCTGCTTTTGCTTTTTTTAATGCTAATTCACAATTAACCATCTTGTTTCCACAAACTTCTGTATTGTTGCATTGTATCATATATAAAATATAGGTTATAAGGGAACAAACCATGTTAGATGTGCAAATCATCATTCACCAAATATTTGGTTCACAGAAAAAAAGTGAAATACAAATCTTAACTGTTACTTAAGCTAATGTAACACTCCCCGATGTTAAAAGAATAGTTCATGCAAAACTTAAAATTTTCAAAAAAATTGTTTTCAAGGTGTAGATGAGTTTGTTTCTTCATCAGAATTGATTTGGAGAAATTTAGCATTACAGTATATCACTTGCTTTTACTTCACAAGACATTAATTGATGGACTGGAGTCCATTTGTGAATTATTGTGATGTTTTATCAGCTGTTTGGACTCTTATTCTGACGGCACCCATTCACTGCAGAAGATCCATTGGGGGAGAAGTGATATAAGGCAAAATTTCTCCAAATCAATTCTGATGAAGAAACAAACTCATCTACATCTTGGATGGCCTGGCGGTGAGTACATTTTGAGCAAATTTTCATTTATGAGTGAACTATTACTTTAAGACATTTAATTCAGGTCTCTCAGGGACGCGTTCACTTAGACTGGGCCTTCTAAACCAAATGAGTTTATTAATGTCCTAAATTGTCTGACATGATTTTATTTTCTTGTAGTACAGTATGTGAAATGAAATATGTCAGATATTTAGAAGTGGTATGTATTGAATAAAAGCAATAAGGACATTGTCATTGTCTTGTTATATGCAAAACAAAACTAAAAATGTCTCTTCATTACACTCTGTGTATAAAATGTGTTTTTAACTAGCCCTCCAGTGTGTAATAAATCTGTCTTTATACATTTTCCAAGTTTGTGAGGAGAGTTGTGATGGCCATGAATGCTCTGCATTTTTTGGCCTAGTGTCAAAATTGATTTAACAGATCTAGCTAGTGCACAAAAATGTATTTTTTTTGAGAAGATGGTAGAAATATGCAGTATTTATGCAAGCTCAGGGTCAATTTTCTTTCTTTGAAAGAGGAAACAAATCTTTGGCTTTAGAAAGGAAGATAAGGAAATGAGCATGATGACCTCAGTCTGTGAGAGTGACCTCAAGCAAGGAAACTCTTTCTCCTCCGATTCTGTTTCCTTCCCTTAAACATGGGGCGGCTTATTTTCATTCTTTGACCATAAAGAGTCTCTTATTTTATCTTTGTTCTGGGACTTTGTAATGCAAATAATCATCAAATCGTGTGATGCCCCTCAAAACCTCTTTTATTTCAGTGCCACATTCATTTGCTGGTCTGTTCCACCCTTCCTGTTAGTGTGTGATAGGCTGAAGAATCTTTATGGATGGTGCAGATATGTTTATCTCATTATAAAGTAGTCTGAAGCTTAATGCAGAGAGGTAGAACAAGAAAAGTCAAACATACAGCTGTAGATAATATAGCAGGACATTTGTCAAAAACTAAGACATTTTTTATATATTCTCAAAGTATTTACAAAATGTAAACAATGTTGTGAAACATACATTTAGGCATTACAAGGCTGTACATTTTGGTATTATTTGAGTACCTGTTACCTCTGAATTACACTGAATTACTGAGGCTTAAACAGCAAACATATTTGCATGTGCCATGTGTGGTAGGATATCTATTAATAGAGCTTTCTCAAATGTTCTATTAAGAATACCCTTACAATTATTCAACTATTTTTAAAATTAAAATTACATATTTTTTAATAATCAAGATTGGTTTTAATTATTATTTAGAATTTTTTAATTATTAAGAATGTATTTTATTTCGGGGAGGGGGGAATTAATAAAGTTTTTCTTAAAGGGCTCCTTCACACAAAAATAAAAATTCTGCCATCATTTACTCAGCTTCCACTTGTATTCCAAACCTGTATGAGTTTCTTTCTTCTGTTCAAAAGAAGATATTTTGAAGAATGTTGGTAACCAAATAGTTGACAATAGCCATTTTCTTCCCTGGTATTGGAAAAAAATACTATGCAAGTCAATGGTTACGTCAACTGTTTGCTTACCAACATGATTCAAAGTATTTTTGTTTGTTTTTTTGCATTTAACAAGAAAGAAACTCGTACAGATTTGGAAAAGGTGGAAGATTAGTAAATGATGGCAGAATTTTCATTTTTGAGTGAATTTTCCCTTTCTTACCTTGAATTACCCCCTATCCCTTTTGTTCTTTAAAAACATAATCTTAAAAAAGAAAGAAACCTCTGAATATATCCAGCCAAAGAAAGTGTAACAGTAACACCAATTAACATAAAGTGTGTATCAAAATTATATCATGTTCTGAATTTTTTCTAATTTAATTAATAATGATGATCCAAATCAAATACAATTGTTTTTTTTTTTGTACAAGTTAAAAATTATCCATGATAATCTAATAATGCATGTTTTATAATTTGCTTAATTTAGTTACTTTACATTGAATGGTTCAGTGTGCCAAAGACCAAGATTATGAGACATGTGTGACCAAAATCTTATCTTGAACGTCCAGATGAGACTTTCCCTATAAACACAGTTTACGTAATTGCTTAGCCACGGAGAATCAACAATGACCTGATGATGTCACTGCAGTATTGTTTTACACAGGCCCTAAAGCGGTGTTATGGAGAGAGACGGGGCCTGTAGGTCCGTGGGCGGATCATCATGCTCACCTTCTTCAAGGAATAGTAATCTGAGTCCTTCCATGTGTACCACACAATCCCATCAGGCCCCAGAAGATTCTTCCCTTTGGCAGAGTAACGCCCCCCCTGGTGGTCAAGATAAACACAGGACACAGATAAGATGGCTGGGCTCATATTTTATATCTCGGAAAGGTTTCGTTTTTGCTTCATTTGTATTCGACCTTATAATACACTCCATTGAGGTTGGCAAAGAAGCACTGATGGTACCACCAGCCTCCGTGAGATATCTCAGCACAGATGTCACCTGTGTCTGCAGTGCTGAAGCTTTGCTTGTCATGGTACCAGCCAAACGAGTCTTCAACTGTACCACTGAATCCTGATACATGGAGACGGTAGAGGTTGTCCTCGTTCTCAATCCTGCCAAAGCAAGAATTTTTGCTTGAGTGGTTTAGAAAAAGCACTGTTTTTGCTCAAAATACATCACTTGTTCACCAATGGCTCCTCTGCAGTGAATGGGTGCCGTCAGAATGAGAGTCCAATCAGCTGATAAAAACGTCACAATAATCAAGTAATCCACATGACTCCAGTCCATCAATCAACATCTTGTGAAGTGAAAAGCTGCGTGTTTGTAATAAACAAATTAATCATTAAGATGTTTTAACTTTAAACCATTCATTCTGATGGCACCCATTCACTGCAGAGGATCCACTGGTGAGCAACTGATTTAATGCTAAGTTTCTTTAAATCTGTTCAGATGAAGAAAAAACTCCTCTATCTTGGATGGCCTGAGGGTGAGTAAATTTACATCAAATTTTCATTTTTGGTTGAACTATTTCTTTTATTTTGGAGCATCTGTAATGTTTGGATTTTCTCGTAAGAACATTTAAGAAATGAAAATAATATGATGCAACATTTCAGACCAGGTTCAGGAAAAAAAAAACGTAATGTAATATTAGTATTGTAATATATAATAATCTAATATTAATATTTTATAGTTAAATAATGAATCTGTATATTTAATATTTTATATAATACTTTATATGTAATATAATTGAATATTGCTGTATTAAAATTGTAATATCTTATATAAATACGTCAGATATTTCAATATTAGTGTATCTGAAATTTAAGATTAACATTTAACATTGTTTTCAAATATTTTACATTTAATACTTTTATAATAATTAAATATTTTATTAACGTACACTGAAAACAAAAATAACTAAATGTTCTTAGAAATATTCAGACTATCTTTCCAAATGTTTACCAGAAGTTCTGGTACAGTGCGTGTTTGTGCTTGCCATTCCAGTCCTCAAGGTCAATACGAAGGGAATACTCTCCCTGGCTGGCGATATCATGGATGTGATCGTTTCCTAGCCAGAATTCTGCAAGCAGATCTCCGAAGCCATCCCTGTATTCTGTCCATTTGCGGTTGAAGTTGACCTTTCCATCCTGTCGACGCTGAAACATGGTCCATCCACCTCCTGGTCCAAAGAATGGTTCTTTAATCTCAAGTAACATCCACTAATGCTCCTAATTTAACCAAAACCTCCTGTCTATAAACACAAAAATGCAAACCTTGGGTCTCCATATCACAATAAACTTCTACAGGAGTCGATCGTATTGAAGGGACAACAGTAAAAATCCCAGATCTGTGGACTCCATTGTAGTACAGAGATGCACAGTCAATTGGGCAGTTCCTTACATGCTGAACCTCTGAGGAAACAAATATTTAATCAAAACAAGCTTTTGTTAAAAATGTCCAAATATGTCAGTATGAGTTCTGAGATGCCAATGACCTTGTAGTATTATTTTTTCTTATTTGAGTTCACCCAAGAAGTACACATCTGTTATCATTTACTCGCCAAATGAAGATTGTAAAAAATTCCCCAACCAAATAAAGAAAGTCAGTGGGGTCCAGTTTTGTTTTTGACTATCATTTGATGGACAAAAATATTTCAAAATATCTTCTATTTTGTTCAGAAAGTCATACCAGTTTGGAATGACATCAGGGTGAGTAAGTGATGACATCATTTAAAATTTTGGGTGAACTACACTGTAAAAAAAATTCCAGCTGTGGTTGCCGGAATTTTACCGTAAAAAAATACGGTAGCAACGTTTTAGGTTTTACGGTTTTAACTTAATTTTACAGTTAAATACCGTAATTTCATTAGCTTATTTAATGTTAATATACTAACCTATAGAAGTACTGAAATCTGTTTTGTACCTTTGTAATACACTGATAACCACCAAATGCAGGTGGTGACAAGCAGCTTTTAAATAATAACATATATAGAAGGTGCACAGTGTCATTCACACAAACGCTAAACACCATCATGGTAACACACATCAAACTGAAATAATGCAATAAACATTCATTTAACAACATTAGGTGTAACACACAACCCTAATATACAAAACTGATAAGAAAAAACTAAGAAACATAGTTATTTCAACAAAAAAACATCAAATTTGAAATGTAACGCGGGGACTTCTGGGAATGTCAATTTACGGTTATTCACTGTAAATTATACGGTATTTTTCACTTCCAAAAACGGTTTACTACCGTAAAATTTATGTCCAATACATGTAGTGTCCAATACAGTTTTTCACCGTATATAATAGGGGAATTTACCGTTAACCATTTAACAGGTTTTTACTGTAGCATTTTTACAGTCTTTTACCGTTAAAATCACGGTAATTTTTTACAGTGTACCCCCGATCAAATAACCACTTTCAAAATCTGCAGTACCTAGTCATGCTGACCTGGATGAAGGGTATCTTGGGCACCGAGGAGCGGATTTGTGCGGATGATATTGATCATACAGCCAGGATTGCGCCTCACACGCTCTACTATCATAGTGAGGTTGCGAATCTGTGTTTGCATGTCATATATGAGTGATCCGTGGATGTGCAGCAGTGCATTGGCCTCTTCATAGATCTCCTGCAGCATGTGGAAGCGATGCTCTAAAGATGAGTTTACGCCATACTTCTCCTCACGCTGCCAAGACCAGAAATCATTAGTTAGCAATTCAAAGCACAGTGCACTTTGAGGACACAGCTCATCTATTGTTTGCAAACAGGAAAACAGATGGAAAACTAGCACAGGTTAGCTTAATCCGGTAACACCAAGGATTTGAAAGTGACCCAACAAAACAATATTATTCATAGGGGTATGGAAAGTAAACATAAAAGTGCATCAAAATCAAAAAGTGTGCAGCCAAAAACATTCAAAGTAAACATGAACTTCCTCATACGTAACTGTAAAGAAAAGACAGAAGACATTCTCTGGATTTCTGGAATGTATTTGTTTTCTTTTCAATGTCAATTATCATGTTTTCTTTTCAATATCAATTATCAATAAACTAGTAAGACAGTTCAATTACAACACAAAGATTTGTTATTTTCCAAGGTAGGGTATTTTCTTTCATCATTCTTCCATCAACAATGTTGAAATAACATTTATAAAGTAGCTACTTCAGTAGTTATTCTTATACTATTTTACTGCTTATTTTGGTTCATTTACTCAAGTATGTATATATACATACAGTGCCGTGAAAAGGTTTTTACCCCCTTCCTGTTTTTATATATATATATATATATTTTGCATATTTGTCTCACTTAAAAGATTCGCATCATCAGACAAATTTTAATATTACACAAAGAAAATACAAAAGAAATACAAAATGCAGTTTTTAAATGATTTCATTTATTAAGGGAAATAAGCTGTCCAAACCTGCCTGGCATTATATGAAAAATGAATTGTTAAGTTAAATCATGAAAGAACTGTGATTAACCACATTATTTTAGAAAGCTGAGTTAAATTTCACTAGCCAAACCCAGGCCTGATTACTGCCAGACCTGTTGAATCAAGAAATCACTTAAATAGAACCTGTCTGACAACGTGAAGCATGCTTAAAGAGCAACACATCATGCCGCGATCTAAAGAAATTCAAGAACAGATTAGAAACAAAATAGTTGACATGTATCAGTGTGGAAAGGGTTATAAAGCCATTTCTAACACTTTGGGACTCCAGCGAACCACGGTCATAGCCATTATCCACAAATGGAGAAAACTTGGAACAGTGGTGAACCTTCCCAGGAGTGGCTGGCCTACCAAAATTCCTCCAAGAGCGCAACGACGGCTCATCCAGGAGGTCATAAAAGAACATCTAAAGAACTGCAGGCCTCACTTGCCTCAATTAAGGTCAGTGTTCATGATTCAACAATAAGAAAGAGACTGGGCAAAAACGGCATCCATGGGAGAGTTCCAAGGCAAAAGCCATTGCTGACCAAAAAGAACACAAAGGCTCGTCTCACATTTGCCAAAAAATATCTTGATTATCCCCAAGACTTTGTCAAATATTCTGTGGACTGATGCTACAAAAGTTTAACTTTTTGCAAGGTGTGTGTCCCATTACATCTGGCGTAAAACCAACACAGCATTTCATAAAAAGAACATCATACCAACAGTCAAACATGGCGGTGGTAGTGTGACGATCTGGGGCTGCTCTGCAGCTTCAGGACCTGGACCCATGAATTTTGCTGTTTACCAAAAAATCCTGAAGGAGAATGTCCGGCCATCTGTTCGTGACCTCAAGTTGAAGCGAACATGGGTTATGCAGCAGGACAATGATCCCAAACGCACCAGCAAGTCCACCTCTGAATGGCTCAAGAAAACTAAATTGCTGTGGCATGACCTTAAACAGTCCATTCATGCTCAAACCCTCCAATGTGGCTGAATTAAAATAATTCTGCAAAGAAGAGTGGGCCAAAATTCCTCCACAGTGATGTGAAAGACTCCTTACCAGTTATCGCAAACGCTTGATTGCAGTTGTTGCTGCAAAGGGTGGCACGACAAGTTATTAGATTTAGGGGGCAATTACTTTTTCACGCAGTGCCCGGCAGGTTTGAACAGCTTTTTTCCTTTTAATAAATGAAATAATTATTTCAAAACTGCATTTTGTATTTACTCGGGTTATCTTTGTGTAATATAAAAATTTGTTTGATCTGAATCATTCAAGTGTGACATATGCAAAAAATTAAAAACAGGAAGGGGGCAAAAACTTTTCACGGCAATATACATACATGCGCGCACACACACAATAAACATAGAAATGTATGTGTGTTTGATATTTACCTATTACTGAGCTAACAAGTAAATCAAATCATCATTCAGTAAATCAATTTCTTCAAAATAAAATAATACCTACATAAACAAATAGCCTAACTACATTGTTTCATGTTTCTAATGGTAAGAAATAAGACATTCATACATACAGAAAGTACCAGTTCATAGGCTATGTATTTTTGTTGTACGTGGATGCAAAGAATTGTTGACAAAGTGTTTGCTACTATATGTCTATGGGACTGGTTCCAGCTCTAATCCAGTAATTGATCAGGAAGGATTTAGGAGGCATTAGTACAGAAACAGTGCACTACTGAAACATTTGTCTCTGGATTCCTGTAAGGCAGAGCTGCAGCACACCTGTTAATATGTAATTGTGTGCTATAAAGTTAAGACTTTGCCTGCTAAATAAACAATGCATGGAGCATTGTATACCAAATATAACCAGTTTAAAAGTTCAATCTGAATGAAAATGCTTTAAACATCTCAATCGGAATAAAAATGCTCAAACTGATTGAAATTTCAGCTGAATTGAAAGGGGTGGAATAAACCTTTTCATGAACCGATCAAATGAATGATTACACCATGTAAACGAGTTGGGGGTTGGGGGTCCCCCTCGGTAGAAATCGCATTCCGCGTTCCCCCCTCGGGGGGCCCCCTCTAACGCCAGGCCCTTGGAATCGTCCTAACATCCCCCCCACCCCTTACGGCGCCCCTGAATTTGAGTGCTGTGTTGTTAAAACAATGTATCATTCGCAAGACACTGCAAAAATATATGCAAGCTCAATGGCTAAACACGTCCGTCTACCATGTTTACACACAAAATCAATGGAAAAGCAGTGCAGTGAAGTGCAAAAATACATTTTGGTGTTTAAAAAAAGTAAGACACGTGGAATGAAAAACATGAAAGGTCTAGACACAATTTTTTTATTTTTTTTTTACTTGAGTGCTACATTTTTAGAATGCAATGTCATGAGCAAGACGCTGCTAAAGACACCAGAGCAAAGGTCAAATATGTCTGTCTAATGTATGTTTACATAGAAAAACTATGGAAAACATTGAAAAACAGCATAGCAGAATGCAAAAAAAAGAATAAAAAATGCAAGCCTTGTAGACACGTTTTTTAAAAGTTGAACTTGAGCGGCGTGATTTTAGAATGCTGTGTCATGCACGAGATACTACAAAAGATGATATCGCAACAGTCAAACATCCATCTAAAAAACATCTAAAAAACATAAAAGGAGCACAGTTGAATGCAAAAATGTGTTCTGTGTGAATGGCTCCTTGTGATAGAACACATAATCTACTTGTTAAAGGGTTAGTTCACCCAAAAATGAAAATTCTGTCATTAATTACTTACCCTCATGTTGTTCCAAACCCGCAAGACCTTCGTTCATCTTCGGAACACAAATTAAGATATCTGTGACCCTGGACCACAAAACTAGTCATAAGTCATAAATCTCATAATTGAGATTTAAACATCATCTGAAAGCTGAATAAATAAGCTTTCCATTGATGTATGGTTTGTTATGATAGGACAATATTCTATTATTGAAAATCTGGAATCTGAGGGTGCAAAAAAAAAAATCTAAATTGAGAAAATCGCCTTTAAAGTTGTCCAAATGAAGTTCTTGGCAATGCATATTCCTAATCAAAAATTGTTTTGATGTATTTATGATAGGAAATTTACTAAATATATTCATGGAACATGATCTTTACTTCATATCCTAATATCCTAATTTTTGGCATAAAAGAAAAATCGATAATTTTGACCCATACATTGTTTTTTTGGCTATTACTAAAAATATACCCAAGCGACTTAAGACTGGTTTTGTGGTCCAGGGTCACATTTTTGATGAAGTCTGAGAGATCTCTGACCCTCCATAGACAGAAATGAAAAAGTAGCACAAAAAGTATTCTTGTAGCTTCATAAAATTATGGTTGAACACCTGATGTCACATGGACTATTTTACCGATGTCCTTGCTACGTTTCTGTGCGTTGATCGTGATAGTATCCTTGGAGGGTCAGAGAGCTCTCAGATTTCATAAAAAATACCTTATCTGTAATTAATGACAGAATTTTCATTTTTGGGCGAACTAATCCTTTAAGCCTGACGTCAAGTGTCACCATTCCCAGGTCTAAACGGATTCCCAAAACAAACAACCAATATCACGGTGTGCTGCAATACTACCAAAAAATCTGGACTCTAACCATTATCTCCATACCTACATCTCAGATGGTCAGACAGTGATTCATCTTTTATGAATCGTAAAAGCCTGTTTGAATGTCTCATGACCAAATCACCTTTAAAAATATAGGATGTCATGAGAAATATATGATGGAATGCGTCTCATAGAAAAGCACTTTTGTGCGACTTTTATTACTAAAAGCCTGTAGCTCCTACCTGCAGTTCCAGCACTTTAATGCGATGCCTGTGATTCCTCAGCTCCTCTTGAAGCTCTGAGATGGTCTCTTTCAGGTCCTGCATTTGCTGCTTGCGCTCTTCGTTCTCACGCAGCCAGTAGGAGACCTCATCTGTACAGCGGAACATGTCTGGACACCGCTGCTCCTCCAACTGAGGTAAAGTGGCTATTAAACGACACTGTCCGTTTGGCATCACTTCATTGCTGTATTCCCCACACTGCATTAGGCCGCTGCTAACTCGATGAGTCTGAGAAGTGTCTGTTTTAAAAGAGTCTGTGGTTTTAGGCTCTTCAACAGCATCTTTGGTTTTGACAACAGGAAATTGGGGCCATACTGCCCAGAGAAACAAAGCATACAGCAGAGACATCATTCTGCAATAGACTGAAGTTCTCCAGAAGAAGTAAGGACTAGAGAGTGAAATCCTCATCAGACCCTGAAACCTGTCTGGGTCCTCAGACTGGTAAAGCTTATTTTCTCATGGTTTAATGCTGTCACTAAATCTCTACAGGGCAGATGGGAAGTGAATGAGATGGAGAAAGCTGATTGGCCGAACATTTGCCAGAAATCCTCAAAACATTGCCACCCAGCATTCTGCTTAAAGAAATAATAGAATGGATGGATCAATGACATGATGCTCATTCATTTATTCAGTACATTAAAATGGTGTTCATACATGAAATATTTTGAATATACAGTACAATTTCTTAAAGGTCCCATATTTTAGGTTTTGATGTCCTTAAGAATATATATTTGTGGTATAAGTACCAAAAACCATCTCAATATATTTTTACAGCTTCTTTCTCAGGAGCTCTGCTGAGAACAGGTCGAGTTTGGCCTGTCTAATTAATATTAATGAGCCTCTTTTCTGATTGGCCTGTTGTGTCCTGAGTGACGCACGGCCAGGCCAACCACAGGTAACTAGGGTCAGCCGACGTCACAGCGCTAGCTGGAGGCAGCAAAACAAAGGGGAAACTGGAGGCAGCCCATTCAAACCAGCGCAGATTCGGCACATTAAGGAGCTTAAAATATCATCTTGTTGTGATTTTGGGTGCCAGAATCGACGTAATACAGCCTCAAATTAGAAATTTGATCCATCATGACTAGATAGACACGGTGAGTTTGTCTTTACTATACACGTTAGATGTGATCCACCTCATAGTAACAATCCTGTCAGATCGTCCATCCTTTGAGTGAGAGTGTAACGTTACAGGTCGGCCGATCTGGTTTCGTGGTTAAAGTTAACCTTTTCGACATGTTTCCCTGTTGTCGTTGCTCAGCAAAAGCATGTTGTCTGGGGGTTTGGCAAAAGGAGAGTGGGACCGTGGGCGGTGCTCGGTGACTGTAGTTCTGACGTCAACTTTTTACGGAAGTCACAACGGTTCGTGAAAAATCACAGCTACTTTATGCAGGCTGTGTGCATTTTACTGTGGACTGACTGTTTTGAAACTTATATGGTAGTTACATAGCCCCTAGACCTCAGTTATCATGAAAAAAGCCAGAAAATGTCAGTTTTGACAATATGGGACCTTTAATTAAAATTATTGTTGACATTTTGTGTGGCATAATGTCAAAATTGTCAGAGGGGGGGGAAATGTCTTATATTATGATGAAGAAAGAAGCCTCTTTAAAAGAAATTCATTATTGTAGTTTGGCTTAATTAATGATTTTTTTTTTTAATTATTGTCATTTTATTTTTTTAATCAACAAAGCTGCTTATTAATATTTGTAATGTGTTGTAAACAACACACAGAACCATAAAAGCATGCAAAAAGCAAAAACAAACTGCAGTTCATTCTAATGTTTGTCAATATCAATAATTTCTTAAAATATCAAATTATTTAGCCTTTTTATGGCAAAGTTAGTTAAGATTGTAAAACATCATATGGTGCGACTCCGCAAAAGCTTAATGATATTTATGAATTAATAAGTCATAATATTTGTATTAAAAACTGCAAAAATATATATTTTAAAAACTTTTGGAAAACGTTTAAGATTGTGTACATGCATTCATGCTGTAAAGAAAATATGTTCATTCTTGATGGTTACACCACAACATTTTTAGAGTTAAATTTCTTGTTCTTAAAAATGCTATTAATGGTATAAAAGGTTTTCAAAGTCATGAAAACAGCATGAATACAAAAAGAAAAAAAATGGCCCCTTGAGTTTTCTTAATCAACACTGTTATTTATCATTTTCTAGACTAGTTTTCTGAATGATTGTCAATAAATATTCTTCATGAACATTATTTAAAATAAAGTGAAGTTTGTAGATGTAAACATAAGCTAAATGTAATAACTTTACTTAAAGTAGTTAGTTGTGCAAATGTGCTAATAATATACAGTTCATTCTAAAAAGCACTACAGTATAATAATGAACAGTCAGTGATTCTGCATACATAACACTTGTGATAATGGTACTGGGCCGGCATGTTATGGCCTACTTATGCAGTAGTGTAGCCCAGCAGCCTTTAGGAACTGGTTTAACTGCTTAACATTTACTTTCTGTTCTGTTATGTCAGAATTCTTATTTGATTTGCATGATGCAGGTTTGTAAGACGATTATCTAAAAGTTCACTCCATATTTATATACTCATATTGCCCCCAAGTCTATATTAAGTTTGAGTTTGTTAGTTTATACATAAAGTAGCAATACAACTGCATTCCAACTTCTTACTCAAAATTCATCAAGTGCATGCAACTTAACAGATGCACACATCAAGAATGAGCATAATATACATTCCAAAGGCTAAAATAAAAGCCTCTGCAAAGCCAGCAAATGAAAAATGAAATGAATGAAAAGGCAAAAACAAATGAGATAAGCAAAGTTACCTTGTACCAGGCAGGCAAATCCTCTTGACATTCTGAATGTGATAAGAAAGTATATCTTCCATTCACTCACTCACTGTTGGTAGGAAAAGCTGTGCTATTAACAGTGTTACTATGGGTTGACAGGCATCTTATCCTCTAAATCTTCTCTAATAGGATTACATTCACTGTGCAGTGTGGGTCAATAGCCTGTAAAGAGACAGGAAAATATACAATAAATTATATGCTTTGCATTTAACTGATTGTATGTTATTTTGTCTTTAAATTAAATATCACATTTTGTCCAATTGTGTGATATTATAATTTCCATGACCACTTTCTTTACATTATTTATGTTTATTTGTTATTAGCTATAGATAACACCTATCTGGAAAATTACATATGAAAATGGCTAACATTTTCATTGACCACTTGTTGTATTTTATGTATAAACAGAGGGGCAAAGTTGCTCACACACTTTTAAATCCAGAACCTTTTTTTTTTTTCCTCATTTGACCCGAGTATACTCATCTGTGACTTTCTGTCTCTGAGAACTCCGTGTGCCAAAGAGACCAATAACATAAATATAAAAGCCAGCAAGGTCACGACTCCAATATAATGATGTGTCCTTAATGGAAAATGCCCCTTAGAATCGTTTTTCTCCAGGCGGAATAGTTACCAATATAGAAACCATATTTTGAATGAACAGAATCACTCAGCTGAGAGAGTGAGCCTGGTTGATTGAAATTTAGGACATGCTCTTTGACATTTGTCAGTGTTTCATTCTTAAGATCTCAAATATAACATTTATTTTGTATAACAAATGTGTTATGACTTAAAGCAGGAATAAATATGTGCATGTTGCAGTTTAAGGCATACAAAGTCAGATTACAATTTGCACTAAAACTGACAGCTATAGATTGCACATTACAGGGTGGCATTTTGATGACTGTATTTTGTCATTAAATTATATAATGTTAATATAATAACTGAGCTAATAGGTATTATTAAAATAATTGCAACTTTAAAATAAATGATCATACTTTACTGTAAAACTATACATGTTGCATAGTGAAATGGAACAATTATAAATAATATCATTTATTTTAAATAAAGTTTTCAGTGTATTTTTTCAGTGACCATGGTTTCTCTATTTTTTATTGGCCTTGTTATGTAAAAATGTGTATAAATATAAATAAATATATCAAATAAAATATTTCATTAATATAAATGTATATAAAAATATATAAAGTAAAATGGTAAAATATGTTTTGTTGTAAAAAAAAAATTCCCAAATTGCTCACATTTTTACAATGTAGCTCTCCCTGAAGAGTTACCACTGAAAAAATGTCTAGCTTGCCTTATTTTCAAAATGAGACATTATTATTACTGTATATTATTAATATTTTTTATTTTTTTAATAAATTAACATTATATTTTTTATTTAATATTTTCTGCAAATATGAACTCTTTTTTTATTTCTCCATGAAGAATTTGGCTTATATTTATTGTAATTTTCTGGCAAAGATACAGCAACACAGCAAGTCTTTATACAGTAATACCATGATTTTATGTTTTGTAATGTTCTGCTCAACCTAATCTGTTAGTGGCATTCAATCTGATCAAACCATGGTCATTTTGTATTATGAGCTTTTGTTCTGCTTCTACCACCCCGGATGTTCAAATCCTTCACCTTCCCATTCATTTCAACACAAGATTAGCACCTATGTGCCCTGACACACACAAAAAAAACATGCCCCATCATTGATTTAAAGTGAATTTAAACCTTTAATCACCTAACTCATGTAAACCGACACATATGCCCTTAAACGTAATGAGAAAAACCATCATGATTTGATAAGCTGAGTGAAGATCCTAATCCTGCACTCATTCACAACTGTCTTTTCACTGTTGACTGACAATCTCTGATGGATTACTCATCCGTACCTTAGATGATGCGCCAGGGTTTCCTACCTGCACCACCCATTAAAAGTGACAGAGTTTGGTGGCCTTGAGGAATTGACGCACAGGTAGCTTATAAAAGATGACTAGATGAGGGTCTCAGACATCAGAGACAAGCAAACGCACGCATAACCAGACAGATCAGAGATCCTCCGAGAGAAAAACTTTGGTCGGCTCACTTCTTTCTGCACAACAGGTGGGTAAAAAAATCATCCACTGAGGTTGAGCTTTACATATTTTCTTAATGTTTTGTTTTTTTGCAATGTCTAATTATTCATGTTTATTTTATTAATATAAAGCATTGTTTCACAGACATGCATTCTGTTCACAATGTTTTCTTTGTTCTTTTAATTCTGGTGTGCAATGAAATAATGATTTGCATAACTGTGCATGCCCTTAATGTGATTGAGTATGCATAAATGTGAATATTGCTGTGTTATCAATATTGGCATGAATCATTGTGCTGTATCAGACATGGTGAGGGGAGTGAGGATGTTGTGTCCTGCTTGGCTCTTGGCTCTGGCTGTTCTGTGTGCGGGTGGATCTGAAGTCAGAGCTCAGTGTTGGGAGAACGCCCGCTGCAGAGACCTCACCACTGACGAGAACATCTTGGTGAGTTACAATATACCTTGCACACATGACTGCTTAGCTGCTAATGTTAGTTCTTTCAGCTCAATCTGCAAGTTAGCTCACTAATTCAAAATCTTCTTGATTAATGGTGAGACTAACATCATGAATGCTAATTGTTCAGGATTACGCATTTGAACAAACCCCAACCCCGAATGAGAACTGTCTAGTTTCTTCTTCTTTTGCTCTTCCCAAGGACTGCATACAGCTATGCAGGTCTGATCTGACAGATGAAACCCCCATCTACCCTGGAGAAAGCCATTTGCAGCCTCCCTCCGAGCTGGAGCAAACCGAGGTCCTCGCACCCCTGTCCCCAGCAGCCCTCGCTCCTGATGAGCAAATGGACCCCGAGTCCAGCCCTCGGCGGGAGCACAAGCGCTCCTACTCCATGGAGCATTTCCGCTGGGGAAAGCCAGTGGGTCGCAAGCGCAGGCCTATCAAGGTGTACACAAACGACGTGGAGGAGGAATCCGCCGAGACTCTCCCAGCTGAGATGAGGCGCGAGCTGGCTACCAATGAGGTCGACTATCCTCAAGAGGAGGGCGCTTTAGACCAGCAGGATAAGAAGGATGGCTCCTACAAAATGAAACATTTCCGCTGGAGCAGCCCACCTGCTAGTAAGCGCTATGGAGGCTTCATGAAGTCCTGGGACGAGCGCAGTCAGAAACCCCTTCTCACGCTCTTCAAAAACGTCATAAACAAAGAGCACCAGAAGAAGGGCCAGTGAGGGGGTTTTAATGGGAGGAGTGGATAGGGGATTGTTTTTAATATACTTTCTTCCCAGCAAACTTATCATGCATAGTAAACAAAAAGAGGGTGGGTGGTGTTACCAGTAGCACTTAATTATTGATGCTTAGAGTTTATTCACATTGTATTAAACAATAAATTCTGAATTCTATACATAGAAATGCTGTGGTGATTAAATACTAGTTTAGAGGCTAAAGAAACAGCATTTTAGATTATTTATTGAATTGTATTATACTGTAAATTTTGAAAATGTGACATGATTGTTTCATGCAGAAAAGAACAAAACGGTTCATTTCTGAGAAACGAGCACTCATTAGAATCATTCAGACGTATATGCAGTTGCCAATAAAGCTATATACACAGGTCAGACTTTGAATTCATAAAATTAGTCTTTAATTGATATTCTTATTCACACCACATATGTACATCACTTAATGATTTCATGTAGGCAAACATTCACAGAACACAGTTCTGAAGTCTCATCCTTTTACAGTGACGGCATCTATACACATACATAAGTACATACATACAGGAACTAAGTTGACTTATTACGGTCCACAGTGTTGTAATGATCTCACTTAAATGAAAAATGGTAAAAGCACAGACAAAACACCCAGTGCATGCAGCAGCTGACAAGGAAAGACTAAACTCTGATATTTCATACATGCAAAATCACCTCACATGTAAGCAGTCTAGAATATTTCATCATAGCCATATAAACAAAGATAAACCAATTTGTTTTTATGATTGCAAATAAATTCAGGGTATCGCCAAGGATGAATATAAAGTAAAATACCAGAACATGAAAAATTACTTCATGAACTAAAACAAAACAGAAAAACTAGATAAACGTCCATGTTTTTATGTGGAACCGGAACAATATGACATGACAACAGATTACACACCATAAAATTTGAGACAAGAACACATCAAGATGAAATTTTGCACAACATAAAGTATATTTTCCAGCATACACCACATTTACACAGTGAGCATTAAAGTGCTGCGTTTAAATCCAGGACACAATCTTGTTGTAAACCTGAAATTATTTACAAATTTAAGTAAAATAAAGGACTCGTTACTGTACAAGTGTCAAATTAAATGCTCTAATCCTGGTAAAAAAGGTAGATAATTGATCCCTTTAGACCCTAAGTAGGGGTTTTACCTTTTTGGGGTAGGGTTTTTACCGCTCTAGCTTTTACCTTTTAATTCTGAAGGCAAAATGCCATTATCTCAACAGGAATTCATGTGAACGAGAATTTCCCGTGAGGTGGCATGCATTGACCAACAGAAAGCTGCTTGGTTTGAAAGAGAATATAGCAAACAGTCATTGCAATACAAATACATACAATCTGGAATTTCACATCAGGGCAAAAGATTTCCCCAAGCAGATTTTGCAATGGGTTCAAATTGGTTACGCAAATTCGCAGAAATCTGCTTGGTTTGAAAGTGATTTCTGTGTGTACTGTGCTTTATACATTGTGACACCATTGCCAGTAAACAATGGACTTTTGTTTGCCTGTGAACTTTTGCTAATTTCGCCAATGATAACTAACTCACTCTGTTTCAGAAAACAAAAAAACAACTTAAGCAATCAAACGAACATTACGCAAATGAAAACCTTTCACATAAGAAACTGCATTAACAAGAGTATAATGAATAATGATACAGGTCTGACTTTATGTGAATGTAACACATTCACTTTCTTATACACAACATCATTAAGCCATCATGGAATACTGCATTGAGTTGAACTAGAAACTTAGTATTTGCTGTATTTTTTCCTCAGCTTCTACCCAAGAGTTTTTACTTTTAAATTCAATAATTATTGCTTTAAATACAACTGTTATTGCAGCATGTAGAGACGATTTAAACATGCAAACAAAGCTTGTATTTAGCTAAACTGTCGATACCCACACGCTGAAAAAACAAGAAAAACTGTTTTTGGAAACACATTTGGGACATTCTTTGACAAATGTTCTTAACTTAAGATACAAAATGTAAGGCAGCTTTACTCTTTAGTTGTACAAGAAAACCAATTACAACAGACTGTACACACTTACACAGTAACCTAAACATGAAAACCTCATTCTGCTCTCTATGCTCCCAGACAAGATACGATCATTTGTCGATAAATTCTGTCCTTTTTCGGCTAGACTAAGTGCATATTTAACCAACATATGGTATATTCTCTTGGTTTGTTTGTCTTTGTTGGCATAAATAGACTTCAGGATAAAGTACAGCCGTAATCCTTATCTAAGGTCTGATATTACACTAGAGAACACAGTTTAGAAGAAACAGCTTACAGAGTTACACCTGGACAGAAGAGTGATAATAGTGCGATGAAAACAGCTGTATGTGGTGACTAGGGCTCCAGGGTCTCTTAGTATACACAGAGGTCTGGAAACTTCATTTCATAGACTGGTACGGAGTGGCTCCGGCCGTGACCATTCCCGACAGAGCCAGACGGACTCGGTGGAGGCCTATCCAACAGAGAAAGAGAAAGAGAGATGGAACAAGTGTCAATCACATGAGACAGCCTTTTTCCACTGTAGTGGTTTCCTACTCTGTGTATTTTTATATGGTTGTTAGTTACATAACATATTCACACTTACAAAAAATTCAATGATACAGAAAACAGTTTTATATTATGCACCTGATTGTGATTTCGAAGATTTGGTTGAGTTTACTCTGCAACAGGGAAGCCTAGAGAGAAACAATACAGGCGGAGAGTTCATGCACAATAAAAAAAGTAAAGAACAGATGTAGGAGCTGAACAGAAGAGCGGTGTTTGTGCTTTTTGATGATAAAATTAGATTGTGTGTATGCTTGCTAGGCATTGGACTCACCCTGGCCCCGCAGTGGGCTGCTATCTCTTCAAACGGGGCGGTCTGAAACCTCTCCACCACCTGCCTTCTGCGCTCTCTCTCCAGCTCCTCCACATTCACGCTGTCTACTGAACAAACACACAAATACAGGTGTTTCTGTGCTAACTGACAAAATCCAGCATAGAAAATATCTAAACTCTTTTATATTTTTAATTTAAGTTAAATTTAGAGATATTACTACTAACACATTTTTTGTACCATACCAGTCATTTGTAATTAGTGAATAAGGATTATTTAAAATAATATTTTATAGAGATCATTAATCAGAGCGACAGTTCTGTAGCAGTACTATAATATAAATAATAATATTAAATATAATATTAAAAAAATGACTTTAAAATGACACTAACATAAGTTTGGGGTTGGTAGGTTTTTTAAAATGTTTTAAAATTATGTTTTTAAAAATGATTTTAAATGTCTCATTCTTAGTCATCCGTTTATTTGATCAAAATACAGTAAAAACGGCAATAACTGCTTTCAATTTTAATATATTTAATTGTTTTTACTTTAAAAATATATTCTTGTGATGGCAAAGCAATTTTTCAGCAGCCATTACGCCAGTCTTCAGTGTCACATGATCCTTCAGAACTCATTCTCATATGCTGATTTGCTGCTCAAGAAACATTTATTTTTATTATCAGTGCTGAAAACAGTTGTGCTGACTAATAGTTTTTTAAGAATTTTTTTTAGGATTCTTTAATGAATCGATTAATCGCGAATAAATATACACAGTACACACACACATTGTCACGGGGTTGCGGTTGTAGTAATTTCGCACGACGAAGGAGTAGAAGAAAAGGAGTTTTTAATAGGCATCAACACACTATAACCGTTTAAAATAACATTAATCCGAGACAAAGAAGACATAGAAACTGAGGGCTTATAAGGAAGGCAAACTAAGGAGCAAACGAGATGATTAATACAACACAGATGATCCGAATGAACGAGGATTAACTAAATGAGAACAGGAACAGAACCAAATAAGGGCAGACAGGAACTAAACAGAAACAAACATGTGACAGATATCGCCCCCCTCCCGGAAGGCACGTCCCGAGCCGTAACAGTAACATCGGGGAGGGGGGCGGGCACCCCAAGGAAGACAAGGAAGGCCTCCAGGGCGGATCAGGGAGCCATGGCAGAGCAGACAGTTCAGGTTGCCATGGCGGAGCAGGCAGTTCAGGTTGCCATGGCGAAGCTGGTAGCTCAGGGGGCCATGGCGGAGCAGGGGACTCAGGAGGCCATGGTGGATCCTCCGGGGACTCAGGAGGCTCGGCCATGAGTATATGGCCCCCCCAAAAAAATTTCTTGGGGGAAACTAGGAATCCTGGGGGGCGCTCTGGAGGAGCGGGCACTTGAGGGCGCTCTGGAGGAGCGGGCACTTGAGGGCGCTCTGGAGGGTGATTTCGAGGAGCGGGCTCTGGAGGGCGCTTTCGAGGAGCGGGCACTGGAGGGCGTTTTCGAGGAGCGGGCACTGGAGGGCGCTCTGGAGGAGCGGGCTGAGAGGCCAGCGGCCGGCGGGCTTGCGTCAGTGGCGGCCGGCGGGCTTGACTGCGGGCTGGTTCTGGATCGGGGCTGGACACTCTCCAGACACCAGAGGATTCCTTCCCTCCAGCTCAGTCCTGTGGCGTCTGGGAGGTCCACGGGGCGATAGTAATTGGCCCCGATCCAGAACAGAGAGTTGAGCGTTGCGTCATCTAGTGCTGTACACACGGCGAGCCCGCAGAACTCCCGCGCATACTTCTCGAATGGGAGATCCAGGCGGGCTAGGGCGGCGAAGCGTGCAGCGGTTTCCATCACCGCGGGGAAAAAGGGGAAAATAAAAACACGGGGAAAAAAGGCGCTGCTCACTTTCAGTTTTGGGTCTCGGATTCTGTCACACATATAGTATGTAAAAAATAACTTTTATTTTGGATGTGATTAATCGAGATTAAGTGACTTGACAGCAATAGTAACAACACAACTTTTGATCAATTTAATGTATCCTTGCTGAATAAAAGTATTATATACTTTTAAAAAAATCTTACTGACCCCAAACTTTTGAATGGTAGTGTATATACAATGTTAATGCAAGTAGACTCAAATCATGCAAGACTTACCAATGGCTTGTTTAAGAGTTTCAAACGTTATCTGCTCTGCTGTGGATCTCTGTAAGGACACCGAACATTGGTTAAAAATACATACACACACAC